TCACAGAGCTAGAACAAACAAACCTGAAATTTGTATGGAAACCACAGAAGACCCCAAATAGCCAAAGTAATGTTGAAAAAGAAAACCAAGGGTGGAGGTATCATGATTCCCAACTTCAAGTTCTATTTCAAAGCTGTGATCATCAAGACAGAATGGTACTGGCACAAACACAGACACGTAGATCAAGGGAACTAAAGAGAACATTTCAGAAATGAACCCACAACTATATGCTCAATTCACTTTTGACAAAGCAGGAAAGAATATCCAATGGGGGGAAAAACAGTCCCTTCAACAAATGGTGTTGGGAAAGCTGGACAGCAATATGCAAAACAATGCAACTGGACTGCTTTCTTACACCACGCACAAACATAAATTCAAAGTGCATGAAAGACCTAAATGTGAGACAGGAATCCATCAAAATCCTAGGGAGGAACACAGGCAGCCTCCTTGACACTAGCTGTGCCAACTTCTTTCTAGACATGTCTCTGGAGGCAAGGGACACAGAAGCAAAAATGAACTATTGGGACATCATCAAGATAAAAAGCTTCTGCACAGCAAAGGAAATAATCAACAAAACTAAAAGACAACCTACACAATGGGAGAAGATATCTACAAATGACATATCTGATAAAGGATTAGTATCCAAAATCTATAAAGAACTTATCAAACTCAATGCTCAAAGAAGATGTAATCCTGTTGAAAAAAGGGGCAGACAACATGAATAGACATTTTTCCAAAGAAGACATCCAGATGGCCAGTAGACATGTGAATAGATGCTCAACATCACTCATCATCAGGGAAATACAAATCAAAACCACAAAGAGATATCACCTCACACCTGTCAGAATGGAGAAAGGGGGGAAGCCTCCTATAATGTTGGTGGGAATCCAAACTGGTGCAACCACTCTAGAAAACAGTATGAAGGGTCCTCAGAAAGTTAAAAATAGGGCTACCCTATGACTTAGCAATTGTACTACTAGGTATTTACAAAGAATACAAAAATACTGCATCAGAAGGGGCACTTGCACCCCAGTGTTTACAGCAGCATTATCAACAATAGCCAAATTATAGAAAGAGGCCAGGTGTTCATCAACTGATGAATGGTTAAAGGAGATATGGTGTGTATACACACTGGAATAGGACTCAGCCATCCTAAATAATGAAATCTTGCCATTTGCAGCAATGTGGATGGAGCCAGAGAGAGACTAATCATCGCTGGGTGGGAGGCAAGCGGAGTTGAGCTAAATGCCCGAAGAGAATGAAGGAGGGCACTTGTGATGAGCGATGGGTGTTGTGTCTTAGTGCTGCATCGCTAAGTTCTGTTCCTGAAACCAATAGTAGACTTTTGTTAACTAACTAGAATAAAAACTTAAAAATAATAATAATAAAGATCATCTTGAAATAGTCTGTGAAAGAAAAATTGCCCCAGAGATTAAACGAAGATGATTTTATTCAAGTCTTGCGATAGAGGACAGAGACTGAATTCAAATCCTCTGAGACAGAAGACAGGAGGATTTTTAAGTGCTGAGGGGAGGTAGCCGAAAAGCTGTAGTGGATGTTAGAGGAGGGGTGGTCAATGTGATAAGGTCGTTGGTGCTTGCTGTCACTTTCAAACTTAGGCTCCTACTCTACCGCAGAGACTAGAAGGTAGGGGCACTGTCTTTCTTGATTAATTGCATGGGATGGCCAAGGGCCTAGGGTGAAGAAGAGGTTTGTCGAAGGTTTATTAGTCAAGCTGAGGGGCAAGTTAAGGCTTTCTTGCTCAGTTGGGCCTTGTGTTCTACAAGAGAAAGACAGAAAAGACACAGGAGAAGGTCACGTGAAGACAGAGACACATGGGACTGTTGTGTCTGTAAACCAAGAATGTTAACCATAGAGGCAAAGAGAGGCATGGAATGTGTCCCTCCACCACCCCACCCTGCGGCTCCAGGGGAACCAACCCTGCCAACATCTTGATTTAGGTCTTTTGGATTCAAGAACTGTAAGAAAATTGATTTTTTTAAAAAAGTCTATCAATTTGGGGTCATTTGTCATGGCAGACCTTGGATTGTTACACGAGGCTTTCTAACAGGTTTTTCTCCAGTTCCCATTTAACTGCAAACATCAAAACTGTACATCTCATCAATGACTTCATTGTTTTGTCCTCTATCCCTTTTTTCTTTTCTTATTTTTTCCTTTTTTTTTTTTAGCACCAGCTAAAAGCCATGGCTGCTTCCTCTGCATTCTTTTTTTTTTTTTCTCTCTGCATTCTTTGGATAATGCTGATGATAAGGATAATACAGCTGAGATGCGGCTAGTGTTTGCTCCATCAAACATACTTTATGCTTTATTGTTTCTTTTCCTTATAAAAACATAAGGCAGGTACTATTATTTTTTATATTTAAAATGAAAATACTGAGGAACAGAAGGATTAAATAGTACTAAGTAGCAGAATGAAAATCTGCTTTGAGATCTGACTGCAGGGCTCACGTGCTTAACCCGTTTCCTTTATTTTTGTTTATATTACTGAATGTTTATGTCTCATGTTGCCTCTATTATAAATATCTACACATTTTTAGTACAAACTATTCAACTGAGATAACTAAAAATCACAGATGCACAAAGATATCCATTTAATCTTCCTATTTTAAAGGTTTTCTAATATTATTTATATTGTAATGCATTTCTTTCAACTTTTATAATTCAAGAAGGAATTGAGGCAACTTGCATGAATACTTTTAACCTTTAAATAATTTGAAAGTTCTGTCTTATTTATCTTTTCACAGCATTTAGCACAATTCTTTGAATGTCAGAAGTGCCCACATTTTATTGAATGAATATAGTTAAGCCAAGTACCAGCCCCCAGTTGTCCCCCAATTTCCAGCATTCTAGTGCCATATTTTCCTTCAATATTTCAATAGAATGACTCAGGCCCCTGTTGAATGTACCGTGGGAAGCCCATTGCTCTTCTTTCCTACAATACTTCTGAATCTTATGAATTAGGAGAGGGGACCAGCTATGTTGACCTACCACGTGAGTTGTTTTCCTCTGAACTCCTCCTATTGGCTTCATTCTGTGACTTGTCCCCTGAGATTGTCACCCTCTTGCCGCCCTGGATGCTGTTCACTGTTCCGCTGACAGAAAAGTGCCATCTGGTAGACTCCTACTCACGGCCTGGAATGTAAGGGGGATGAAAGCATATCACAGTTTTCATTTATTCATTCAATAATCCACCAAACACACAAGCACTCACTGAGTGTCTGGTGGCACTGCGCTGGATGCCGGGGGGACCAGGGGTAACCAAATGAGAGTCCTCACCTTCAAGCACTTCATGCTCTAGTCAGGAAAACAGAAGTCCCACAGGTGCACAGACCAATATGAAGTTACAACTGAGTAAGGACAAGGAAGGAAAAGCCGAGGGTAGTGGGCTTGAGTGGTGGGTGAGAAGAGCCCTGGAGAACGGAGGAGAGCACATGCAGACAAACCGTAGTGGTGTGGAGCAAGGAACACTGCAGCAACTGCGAAAAGCCCACGTGCTAGGAATGCATAGGCCTCGGCCAAGAAGGGAGAGAAATGAGTCTGAGGAAAACATGCCAAGGCCCCTTTACCAGCTGCACAGTCTACTTCAGGCCTCTTCAGTGACAAATGGGATCTCAATCATAAAATTAATTGGGAGTTATGAACACTTCCAAGTGCAGGATTGACAGGATACCCTTTGTATTTTGGGGGAAAAATTCTGGCTACTGTATACAGACGAGAATTAAAAGGGTGAGGCCTGGTGGATGCAGGGATTCCCAAAAGGAGGTGTGGGTACAGGTGAAAGATGATGGTTTAGAGCAGGGAAATGATGGTGGAGATGAAGAAAAATAGATTTGAGAACCATTTGGTGCAGCATAAAGCAAGACCTGGTGATATGAGGGAAGCATAGGATATCAAAAATATAAAGCTAGCTAAAATGGTAGAGGCAGCAAATTGCAAAAAAAAAAAAAAAAATACATGTTAGACTCTGCAGTCTTAAAAAGTGATCAGACTTTTGACCACGGAAAATTTTCATGAGCTATGTCTCTTCTTGGTCTCCTGCCTAAGAGCTTTTACTTTAAACCCACTCTCTCTCCTTTAAAACCACATTGTCTGCCACCATTTTGTTGCTTTATGTATTTCTGGACTCACAATCATTTCTTCATAATAACTTTAACATAATACAACTATTACATGGACAGTTTAACACTAAATCCCCACTACTTTGGGGCCTAGATTTGCATTGCCAACACTTCTATTGAACTGTCACTAAACTGTCTGCCATAGTTTCACCCTTAGCACTACAAAGGCCTTGGAGAAGTACTGAAATCAAAGTTTTGTTTTTTTAGTATATCTTAGAGCAAATTCTTCGGCTTAGACTTCCACCAGAACTTCCAGGGTCATGGAGTTGTATATGGCCGTGGGCACTTTCATCTCCCTATTGAGCAAAATTATTTCAGGCTTCCTTAAATCTTCATATCCCAACATCTCCTGTGTTACTGACCCACTGTAGTATTTATACATCCTAGGAAAAGATGACCTTTTTATTATTTTCTAGTCCTCATACTATGTATCATTCTGTACCCTTAATAATGTTAGTTTAGGGTGCCTGGGTGGCTCATTCAGTTAAGCGTTTACCTTCAGCTCAGGTCATGATCCTGGGGTCTAGGGATGGAGTCCCATATCGGGCTCCCTGCTTAGTGGGGAGTCTGCTTCTCTTTCTGCCCCCCGCCCCCTGCCCCACTCGAGCTCGCTCTCCCTCTTACCCTCATGCTCTCACTCAAATAAATAAATCTTTTTTAAAAAAATTAGTTAAGGTATCCCAAAATGACTTACAGAAACTAAAAGCTATATATAATAGTCTACAAAGAATAAAGATAGTACTTTATGTTAACAATTTAGCATCAAAATGCTTAGTAATGAAATGACTTGCAAATCCATATATCCCTTGGAGGAGGAATATCTATACCTAATATTGGCTCTGTTCTTGTGCTATTTTGAAGAGAACGTCCTTTTCTACCAGAACATCCCCTGTTTTCTTATCCGGATTTCTTCACCAAGGCTGATGAAGAGTTGACGAGAATCGTTGACCATCATGTAAGACTTACTTCCTTAAATTAGCAGCAAAAGCTTTGTTCTTTAAAGGCACTTTGAATTAGAAAGTGTGGTTTTGAGATTGAAACATTAAGATGTGGAACATACACATAAAGCCATGATTGGGCTTTGCCAAACTTAATTATATCTGACTGTGCTATCTATTTAGTTCAGTGCCTTTATTGGTTTCCATAAAATTTGGTTTTCTATCATTTGTGAGATACTAGCCTTATCCTGTTTCCTGAATTCGTTACTGATTTCTTGTGACAAGGATCTGATATTGAACACTGATTTCTTTTATAGTGTAGTTTTAATAACAGAACAAAAATCTTTTGACTCAATTTTTGGTGACCATTCTTTACCCTTGAAATGTTAGAGGGACTTTAATCACTTTTTCTTGGTATGAGTTAAACAAACATTGGCAATACAAGGCCATTCACTTAAGACACTTTAATCCATTGAGCTATATTGAGTCAATTATTTCTTATAAAATCATTTTATAACTGCTTCTTTTTAGGAGTTGAGTTGGAATATGAGAGAAAGTACTTATTTTCTGTTTTTCTTTGAATACAGAATGGTCTAAATAGCATACAACATGTGCTTTAAATTAATTTTATCACCAGCATTTCAGAATTACGTATCATAATACTATTTATATTTCCATGATTAATCACTATTGAATTAGTGATCTTTTGAGAAAGAAAAATGATTATTTCAGTTACAGATTCCACTGAATAGTTATTTATCATGTAGCTAACATTGAAGTGACTCTAGCAAAAGTATTGGGATTTGGAGACTGGAATCAAAAAACGGGAGCTGTGGTATTGTTCTTTTATTAACTAATGAAGTTTCTGCTAAACCAGTATATTATATACTCAGGGCATTATCAAGAATCGGTAAGGGTTCGTAAATTACAGCATCTGTATTTTACTATTCACCTCAACTAAATGATCTAGGATAGATTACAAGGGATAGGAAATTGCCAATGTGTATATATAAATATATGTAGTGTAGTTTTAGAAACAGAACAGGGGCACCTGGGGGGCTCAGTGGTTGAGTGTCTGCCTTCAACTCAGGTTGTGGTCCCAGGATTGAGTCCCGGATCGGGCTCCCTGCGGGAAGCCTGCTTCTCCCTCTGCCTATGTCTCTGCCTCTCTGTGTCTCTCATGAATAAATAAAACCTTAAAAAAAAAAACTCCACAGAACAAAAGCCTTTGACTCAATTTACAGTGACCAGTCTTTACTCTTGAAAGATTAATAAAACTTTGATCACTTTGTAATTAAACACATCTTCCTAGGGCTAAAGAGACAGAGGGCATTCTTTTGAATGGTAGAGAGGAGGCCAAGAAATAAAAACCATTATCTTTTTTTCTTTCCAAGGATATAAGCATCATCTAAGTAATTGCTGCCATGGATCTGTTGATAGTGTATCCAAATTGTTTGATATGTGGCTAGCCTCAGCAAATAGTTTGTAGTATTGATTTGGGAAGGTTTATGGAATTCTTTCCAAATACTACATTTTTAAAAAATAATCCATGTATGTTTCATTTCCCTTCAGAGAGCTTCAGCAGTAGTGCTCTGTACATATATTTGCTTTTGTATTAGTTAATGTGATCCTCCCAACCTGTAAAACATATCAGTAAAAATGGTAGTATACAGTGCAGTTACTTGCCCAAGGTTTTGAAGTTAGTAAGTGACTGAGTCGGCACGCAAAACCAGATTTCCAGACTCCAAACCCACCTTTCTATTCAGGTTTTCATAGTTGCTTAATTTTTTGGTTTAAAATTCCTAATCCAACAGGGGCGGAAAGGTGGAATCTGTGGTATTGACAAGAAGCAAAAACACGCATAGACTCCAAGTTTAACTGTCCCATGAAGTCAATTGAATTTTATCAAGTGGCGACAATAGGCAAACAGTCAGGCACATACCTCTAATTATTACATCAGCATATATTAAGGTGCCTGATGCACTGCTGGTATTCCACAGCCTGGTGATCAAAATCCTGACGGAATGTGCTAAATAAAGCAGTAAATGGTGCTTCTGTTTCCCATCAGCATCAAGCATACCTATGTCCTGCTTGCTGCATTCACAACTGATGATAATAATGGCAGATAAAAGTAAAGACAAGACAATGGTTTAGCCAGATTGAATTTGTCATGGTCAACAGAGACATAAAGGGGGAAGAAAAGTTTACTTTTTTCCCGGGGATAACCCAAAGAAGGATCATAATGTGATGGTGAATTTCAGCTATGCCACCTTCTCATACCAGGGTTAGAGAAGCCACCTCCCAGGCATTAGCAATGTACACCCCATTACTGCTTTTGTACATGCTGTTTGGGAAACCAAAGAATTCTATTTTACTGAGAGTTAAGAATTAGTCCTCTGTTGATTTTTCACAATGTAAAGATCAAGGTCATGAAGTACAGTGAAATCTCTCCTATAAGGTAGATTAGTTGTCTTTGTTTATAGATATTGTCATTATTACACCAACTACCACTCTCATGCTACAACATAAAATTGGTCATTTTGCCAAACAGTATTATTTAGTTTGTTCCATGACAAAAATTATATGTCACAGATGGGTATTATAGTTATCAAGGTAACTTTGTATTTCTTATGTCTTTAAATTTTTTTAAAATTTATTTATTTATGATAGTCACAGAGAGAGAGAGAGAGAGAGAGAGAGAGAGGCAGAGACACAGGCAGAGGGAGAAGCAGGCTCCATGCACCGGGAGCCCGATGTGGGATTTGATCCTGGGTCTCCAGGATCGTGCCCTAGGCCAAAGGCAGGCACCAAACCACTGCGCCACCCAGGGATCCCTGTCTTTAAAATTTAACTGGGGGTAAGAACAATGAGGAATATAGTTTTATTAAAATCTCTTGTTCAATATTTACTCTGAGTATGTTTCAAATGGAAGGCTAAGAGATTTGTTGTGAATTCTGTGGTTTAGTCCTGTTTATTAATATCTATATACCTTAAATAACAGTTATAATCCTTAGCACTAGTTTATAGTAATTTATAAGTTAATTGATAGGTCATCAAGGATAGTTTGGTTGTCTGTGAGTACTGGTGGGCTTAGGGTAACAAAACAAGAAATAAGCAAGGGTAGGAAGTGTCTTTAGAAATTTCCAACATTTCATGCTGAGGTCATTCTCCCCTGGACGTTTTTACCCAGCTTGAAGACAGATTATCACATCTTTCACCACTTTGTTCATTAAAGATAGAGGGAAGAAGGGTCCTCCTGATGTTTGGTTGATTTATGGTTCTTACTTCCAACTACTGAGTTCTAGAACTTTTGCCTCCAGATAATGCTATTATTGTCATTAATTAACATGTTCAATTGAGTTGAATCCCTTAGAAGTCTCCACATTTGTCTGTTACAGAATCAGTATTTGTCTTCCCTTCAATTTCATTTTCCACTTCGTCTACAATAATATCAAAATTGTCCTTCTGCCATAATCTGGTTTTTCTTTTGTTTTACTTTGGCTTGATTTTTCACTTTACAATTCCATGATGTCATGTAAATACCAATATTGATGAAGAAATGAAATTCCTTTGTAATATAAAAAGTAAATCCTATTATTTCTTCCTTTGAATTATTATTATTAAAAATGTTAAGAGGGAACACCAGCTTCTTTTTCTCTTTTTTGAGGGGAGGGAGTGAGATAGCCTCCCTGATTGTGACCAGTGTTTTTCCAGTTATGGTTGGGTTCAAAGTCCAAGAATCTCTGAGAAAAACTGAGGAGATAATTGGATAATAGAATCTGCATTTTGAGAAGCTAAAGTAATTTTTTTCATTTTTTTCATGGAAAATCATATGACACTTTCTCTCTGTGACAGTGGCAGAAAGAGCTTGAGATTCGACAGAAAGAAGATGCAGCATGTGAGGCCCAAGAACGTAAAGACAAAGAGTTACAGGAAGAAAAACACTTCAGAGAAATTATGAAGAGAAGAGAAGAAAAACTCCATAAGCAAACCAAACCCTATGAGCTTCCTCCTAGGACTGAAGTAGTTTCATTAGAAATAAAATGACAAACCCCACAAAGAACTGAAGTTCATATGACAGAAATTGCATGAAAAGAGACCAAGATAGCTAGATGTTAGCAAACATTTCTTCTAATTAACTGGAAGCCAATTCTTAGGAATTGTTATCCTGGTGCAGACTTTTGAATAGTTATACCTTAGTCCTTAATTAGCAGTTCTTACTCGCATTTGAGTGAAGTGATTCTACTAAACATTTTCAAAAAATGGCTAGAGCTTTTCAAAATTGACTTTTTTTCTTGTGATCATACAGCCTATGTAATCAATGATTCTCAGAGCATTGGTTTTCAGTGGACAGTTAGATGGAAACGGATTGCAAATTACTAATGAGCCACATTAAGAATTGTTTCTTGAAAATAGAATGCGCACCAATGGATACTCCTATATTAACTATTATACAAATTAAAGAAGTAAGGCACCTGCTTGGATTTGTATTTCCTTCTCAACACCACATCAAACTATATGTCAGAAACTTGAATTTGATAAGATGCAGTAGAGAAACAACTTTGGACAGATCAGTCATCTCAAGATGATTTGGTCTTTGGTGGATACCAAAGGAGCTCACTGAGAGACACTGGTTTTACCTTTTGTCAGAAGAGTTTATGAGGATGGGTGTGGATGGTCCTGGAAGGTACAGGAACACCTACCCAGGGATTCAGCCAATTAGGAGTCATTTTTAAAATCGCACTTCAATTCTTCTGTAACTCCCATTCAATGAGTAAGAATATTGGGTTGGTGTTCCCATGATGGCTCATGCTCCTTTTCTGAAAAATATAGATAATGATCACACCTCCATTTCTCTGATACTCAAAAAACAGTTACTTTGTAGGGGGTGTTAAACTCAAATGCCTACCAGCTTGGAAGGTAGCGTAAGTCAAAGGGGCCGTGGACTACCTACCCCACCCAAGTAGAGTTCCCAGCTACACTAGTCTTTCAAGAAGGAGATCTTAAATAGGATTACTTTTTAAAATAAAAGTTAAGTCTTAAAAACGTTGGCAACTGACTTCTTAAAATCACATAATTTTGGGATAAATTTGTGACCCATATTATGTGACTCGACAGTATCATTCTTTAAGACAACAATAACACAGTAGAAATATGGAAGGGAGGAAGGGTGTCTTCATTATATGGATTCCTAATAGGGATGTTTCAAATATATGTTGCTCTTCCCAAAACTTTTATGTCATCCTTGTCTCCTCTTACGGAGATTAAGTCAGTTCTCAGAGACAATACCTCCCAGTGCACCTTTCCAATGAAGGTATCTTCATTAGTCTGTGCTTTCTTCACATATGAAAGGAAATCTCTCCTACAGCAGGCCAGTCTCCTTTCCCTGAATTTCATCCTGTGGAAAATCTTGCTCCATCAACTATTCAGTATCCCCCTTGAAGGAACGAACCCCTTATCCCTCACTTCCACCCACAGAGGTCGCAGTTTTCTACCGTCCTTCCATTCCAACTGTTCTCTCCTCAGCCCTGCAGTGGTAGCAGCCTCACCAGCCCGCCCTTTTAGGTCATAACCTTTCTGATAGGTTGTGAGAGAGGAAACCCCTGGGCTGGGAGTTGTGGGCAGGGAGCTCTGGAAACTTCACTACCACTTAGAAGAATGTCAGCAAATCTTGCTGTTTCAGAACCACTTTCACACAAACCTGGTGCTTCCAATTCCTGCACCATTCAGGTGCTCTGGGGCATGGATTAGCCTTAAGACTCCCCCACTGCAGGCAGGTTTTATTATTTTTCTACCCTGCTTAGTCTGTTCCCACTTGTTCATCTGCTTCCTGACTTCCACAGTTTTCTTAGTATTTCCCAGTGTACTATCGTATTTTCTCCTTATGGATTTATGCCTTTAAAAAAAGTAATTCTTTTTCTATCATAGTAGTGGAGATTTGTAAGGAAGCAAAAAAAGAATAGTGTGTGTGTGTGTGTACATACACACGCATATGGAGAGGGAGAGAGATGATTAGTCAGAATGTTTATACCTTTATTCTTAAATTATTCTCTAAAATTATTCTTATTCTTTAAAAGTCTTAGAATCTGGCAACACACATCTCTCCTCATTTTCCTCCTATACCCTGGAATGTTAGAAAAGGCTGGGGCTTGTGGATCTGGGTTCCCATTCTAACTATGCCTCCTGCTAGCTGTGAAACATTGGGTATGTCACCGAACCCTCTGGAGCTGCAGGTTACTCATTTATAAAATGGGTACAATTTGTGTAAAGAGTGGCCTCAGTCAGAACTTAATGAGGAAAAAAGAAGCATGAAAGACAAGCTGCAGACAGTGAGGCCCAGCCCTCTGACAGGAAGGTGCTGCCCTACTGCTGCGGGGACCTGACAGGGCACAATAAAACAGTTTGGGGGACATGGAAAGAAAAGGGAACAAGAACAAATCGTCTATGGCTCAAATCATGCTGCAGAAGAGCAAGAAAATGGGAAGAGTCAGAGTCTTCCTTTGCCATCCTGAGCTCTTCCTCCAGTGCCCCTGTCCCGGTATCACAAAGCAGATGGAAGGGGGGATTTGGGGCTGAAAGACATTAGTTAAATAACTGGGGGAAAAAAAAAACCACGTAGTATGATATGTATGTAGAACATACTAGTCCATGCACTACAAGTTAATCCAACCTCTTTTTTCTTCTACATTTTTGGCCCTCTTTTCTGTAAGCTTTCTGCAGACCATAAATAAATAAATAAATAAATAAATAAATAAATAAATACATAAATACATACATACATACATACATACATACATACATACATAAAAAACAAGCTTGGAAGAAAGGATCACTTTCTTTTAAGTTAATGTAAATGTAAAGCAAGTTTATTATAACTTATCTTTATAACACTTATTCTTCCAGTAAGCACTTAATCTAACACGAACTGAACTCTTTGTAATTTACTTTTCATATTGATTTTGCCTCACGATTCCCCAAGTGTTCTCTGAGTCTCAGGCTGGGTTGGGCACCAGGTGGAGTCTCTCAGTGACTCCAGTATGTTCGGCTGATGGTTTCTGAGCCCTAGTTACTTATTTTCTCAGTCTTCCCACTTCAAGTTGGTAGGAGGAGGAAAGAGAAGAAGGAGAAACATATTCCGTGTATATTGACTCATCATTAAGTGCCTCCATTGCTTGGAAGTGTTACCTTCCCTGGGTCTAAATCTCTTTCTACCTAAAACTCATTTCCATGACTCGTTTCTATGCTACTTTCACTCTATGTTTACACTTATGTTGAAAGAAAAAAATCAGGTCTTCCTACATTAATTTACTATGAATTCTCTATAGATCTCTCTTAACAACTAACAGAGCAGCTTCTTTTCCACATAAACTACCTAATAAATGTTTTACCTTACTGAGAATGAAATATTTATAGGAATTTTAGCCAGTTTTACTAGGGTATTAGAAATTAAAAGACATACATTAGGGGACAAACAGAGAAAAGACAAATAGTAAATAAATTCTGAGAAGCAGCAACAAGAAAATTAGCATTTCCCCTAGTGCTATTTAATAAAGGTAAATCAAAAGATTTGGAAAGGTTTGTGGGGCATGCCAAAGACAAGTTTAGGGAAGAAAACACCCAAAATAAATATCTGTACTCTGACATTACTAAGTGGATGTTTGGGGGCATGAAGAGGTAGTACAAAAACAAACTCAGAGCAACGATTTTAGAAACCCTATCATAATGTTTAGCAATTATAATACAAGTAATTGATTCTTCTTACCAGTAAAAATCCTCTCTGGGACATATGACGGCAACTGTCTACTAGTTGATTATGATGATCTTTCTCACTTTTTTGGAATCTTTTATATCAGTAAATCCAAAGAAAGTTTCAGTGTATAAGTAGTAAATGCAGTTCCTTCTTTCCATGTACCACCACAACCATCCCGCTATGTCCATACCACATAGTCCGATAGCAAGGATTTACAGTAGTGACACTTTTGACATTTTAAGTTGGGAAATTATTTTAATGAGCGTTGGGCCTTCTGTGTATTTTCAGCTACTTAAGCAGCATCCTTGGTCTCTACTCACAATATATAAGTAGCAGCCCCGCCTCCCACCCCCTCGCCCCCTAGCCGCCCTTGCCAGTTCAGACCATCAAAAGTACCCTGGGGAATAGAATTTCTCCTGGTTGAGAATGACTGGCCTGTAGTTTCACGGACCTTGACTTCCAAAGTTAATTTCTTGGTGATTGCTTTCAAATTTTGTCCAACTGCTTATATAGGAAGCTCTCGCTTTTGATGAGCTGGTGACTCCCACTTAAAATCACCATAGGTCTCATGAAGTCACGTCATTCTTCCTTTTGTCTCCATTTGCTGAAGTGGAAATACGAACAAGAAGACCCCTATTTATTTTATATGTGATTGGTGATATTTATCACCTTTCCTGTGGGCTGAACACAGAGACAGAAGTCCTGAAAACCTGCTCTGCTGATGACTGTATAGAAAGACATGTCTAGGGGGACCTGGGTGGCTCAGTGGTTGAGCATCTACCTTCAGCTCAGGTCATGATCCCAGGGTCCCGGGATCGAGTCTGGCATTGGGCTCCCCACAGGGAGCCTGCTTCTCCTCTGCCTGTGTCTCTGCCTCTCTCTGTGTCTCTCATGAATAAATTAAAAAAATTTTTAAGACATGTCTAGTAATAAACTCAGCCCACACTGTACTTCACAGTCTTAGGCTGGCCACTTAAGACAAAGTATTTGTAAGTCTCCTTGTACTAATTCTAGGTGTCTTCTCTGACATGTAGGATGTGTTTGGAAATTTAGAGAAAAACTCATTTTAAATTATCATCTTCTATAGCGTAAATTCACATATTTATATAGTTTTGCAAATTTTGTTGATGATTTGGTTACTTTTGAGCTACATGCATTTTTCATAGTGACATACATTTCAAGGATAATTTGGCTCTAATGTTATTCAAGCTCACTTTTTCCTCCAATCATTCTAGCTAAGGGACCTATTTACATAATACCTAGTGCCTTGTTATTTTTTTATTCCTGCTTCATTGGA